GAGGGGGGTGGGGTGGGGGGAGGCGAGAGGACGGAAGGTGAGGGAAAAGCCGTTTTCGGGGGAGGGGGGGGGAGGAACGGAGGGGAGGAAAAGCTCTTTCTTAGGGAGGGGAGGGGAGGAAAAAGCCATAATTCTTTTGGGAGGGGTGTGGGGTGGGGGGAGGGGAGGGGAAGGAAGGAAAGCTCTTTCTTGGGGATGGGAGTCTTTTTCTGCGGAGGGAGGGGAAGAAAAGCCCTTCCTTGAGGGTGAGCGCTTACCACATTGTACCACAGCCAACCCACATTGTACCACAGCCAACCCACACCATAGATGGCATGCAGCTCACTGACTGCGCATATTTGTCGTGCTGCTGTTCCCCCCGGAGGAAGAATCAGGCGGAGCACTTGGGTGAATAAAAGGAGGAGCTGAGGGTGAGGAGGAAGACCTCCATGATGGCTATTTTGCCAGTCCCATGCAGTCATGATGAGGGTGTGTTGTGTTCAGGGGATGAGCCTACCGTCTTCACCCCTGAAGAGAACGCCTGTTCATTATCAGTGCATCTAGACATGAAGCTGCCCCAAATACAGCTATAACGACCAGGCGTTCTAAAACATATGATTGTGTTTTTGTGGTCCCCAACATGACGGAATCAGATGGAGCTTCATGTCTAGAATAGAACGCCTGGTTTTAGAACGCCTGGTCGTTACAGGTGTATTTGGGGCAGCTTCATGTCTAGATGCACTGATAGTGACCAGGCGTTCTCTGCGGTGGAACGGAATTCTACATGCAAGCGCAGTTCTATTCCTGGGTGAAGACCAGGCGCTCTATTCGGGGCGGAGCCTACCGTCTTCACCCGAAGAGAACGCCTGGTCATTATTAGTGCATTTAGACAACAAGTTGCCCCAAATTCATCTAGTATATAATGATTAGGCGTTCTATTCTCGTGAAGACGGGTAGGTAGAACTAAGACATGATTGCAGTCCTTTGACTGGTCATTATTCATTTACGAGTGCATCTAGACATGTTTTCATGGTCCCAAACATGAAGGAGTCAGATGGAGGCGATGGAACAAAATTCTCTGACGTTAAGCGCAGTCCTTCGACTGAACATCAGCTCTTCCTGTAGCTTACTCAGCCTGGGCGGTCGGATGAAAGTCTGTCATGCTGTGGCGCAGATTCTCTGTGTCTCTGGGACAGGAGGCGGACCGACAGCTCGTAAGAACACAGTTTTTCGTTGGGCGCAGCTTGAGAAGCGCCTCCTAAAATAAAAAGGGGGTAATGTCAGTAGAGTCACAAAAACGAGTTATAATTGCACTATCTGGCAAGATACAGTTTGCAGTTGCAGTTTGGGCACCCTCCCTGGCCAGAAAGCTGGGTTGTATACATTGCCCGAATCGCAATTCAAAACTGTATCTTGGCCAGTAGTGCAATTATAACTCGTTTTTGTGACTCAGGTGTAGCTTTCCCAATAAAAAAACTCACCAATAAAGCGACCACCGTCTTCACCCGAATAGAACGCCCGGTCATTATCGCTGTATCTGCACTGAAAATTGCACCAAATATGACTATAATGACCGGGCGTTCTATTCGGGTGAAGACGGTAGCGCCTGGCAGACTTCCCCCTATTTCTTGTCCCCCTCCTGCCCTTCCCCCTTTCACCCTTTCTGCATGCGTCCCTTCCATTCATCGACTAAAGAGAGTGTGTCACAGCCCTCCGTTTATCCCTTTTCCCTCTTTTCTGGCTTCGGTTGAGCCATAGGCTGAGACTGGGGGCTGTGACGGACTGTTTCGTCAGCGACTTTCGCCGGCAGAAAGGGGGTACCCTTTTTTTTAATTTAATTTGGACCATTTCTCGATTTATGTGTGTCATCCTTGCATCCTTGCGCAGGGGCCATGCTAATCTTCTCTGTATGGTTCCAATTTTTACGGATGTCCCGAAGGACAGAAAGGGGGTACCCTAAACGGGGCTGTGACGGACTGTTTGGTCGGCGGCGTTTACCAGCTGCTGCTCTTTGAAGTCCTTGGGGACTCAGCAGTTCATTCTTGTGTAACGAGCTGGTCGGGTTGTTCTTGTGTCCCATCATGTTGTTGTTGTGTTGGGCCTAATCGTACGATCGACTGGTTTCAACATGTGCAGGCCAATGGGCTGCGATCTGCAAGTAGCATCAGAGGCGTTGATACACAGACGAGGTGTCCAATTGAGGCTCCAGAAGTGAATGCAAGAAGAGCAGCGGTCAGTTGTCAGGTAGCCGGGTCGGACGCCCTGTCTGAGTACGGATGTACTCAGACGGATTGGCGGCATGTGCTCCCTGGTTCGATTGGCGGATCGTCGACATCTACTCCCCCCCGGTTTTCTGGGCAATCTTGTCGCGATGGATTGCAGCATCTGGCCGAATGGTTCATGTCCAAGTCGTCTGTCGATCGCCGATGCTATCCGACTTGCAAGGAGGCGGCGTACTCACATGGCGGCGCAGAGATCCGTCCACCTCGGCGATCACCGTTCTGTTTTGCAGTTCATGACGACCGCGATCAGCGGCTGCAGCAGTACTCCGTTCGGCGAAGCTTGTTAGATTGCGACACGTTGTCGGCAGCACCATCAGTAGGGCCATTAGCAAGGAGAAACGAAGCCCATGAGATTCCGTTGAGGAGCACGAGGAGACATTACTGGAGTGCAATTGCCGTCGAAGATTGGTCGGCGGGCGACGGAATTATGACGACCGGTCCGGCATCCGGGAAGCAAACTTGGGAAGAAGAGAGCAGAGAGCAGTCTGCCCCCCACCATAGTGGTGGCCTGCCTCCTCTGTATGAAACACATGTCCCTCTATCGAGCTGGAAGAAAGCAATGGTGGCTGCTGGGTCTCTCGTAGGCGCTCTGGTGAACCCTGCGCGGGCAGATCTTGTCGCTGCTGCTGCGGAAACCACCGGCAAATTGGCGTACAGGAATATGCTGCGAAGAATGAAAGAGCATCCAGACGGTCAGGTATAGTCAGTCGCTAACTCTTTAGTACTTGAGTGGTGGTCCTGAACAGATCCTGCGTTCAAATCCTGATAAAGCTTTGGTTACCTGTCTTATGCTGCTCAGCTGCTGCATGTTACTCACACTAGATGACTGTTGCTGGCGCCTGAACAGATCGTGATATCGGATCCTGATGCAATCAGATGGGTACAAGAATCATAGGGGGGGCTAATTACCACCACCCCCCTTAGAAAAGGAAAAAGTTGGTTGAGCGCACAAGTGGTGTTCAGGAGGTCATGGGTTCGATTCCCCACGACATCCATTCAGGTCCCCCACGGCTTCCTGTAGCACACTTTGGCGGGCTCGCCACCTGAGATAGACGGTTCGCCCCCCCTGGACTTGTGTGGGGAAAGGTTGCCCGAATACAACGCCCGGTCGTTATAGCTGTATTTGGCACAACATTCAGCCCAGATACGGCGATAATTACCGGACGTTTTTTTTCGGGTATCCCTGAAGGGGTACCGTGTTCAACTGAATAAAACGCCCGGTAATTATCGCTGCATCTGGACTGAAAGTTGTGCCAAATGCAGCTGTAATAACCGAGCGTTCTATTCGGGTGAAGAGGGTAGGCTCAACCCTTGAGGGGTTAGGTAGGCTGGGATAGATCGCCGGGAGGAAAGAGTTTGTAGGCCCAGTCACTGGACTTAGAAAGGTATAGGTATGAGGGTAGGTAGTGTGAGGCATATTGGAGAGAAGAATATAGCTTAGTTATTAAAAAAAAAAAAAAAAAGCCACATTAGATCTGTTAGTCATGCCGAACTGAGAACTTTCAAAGTGGTATCAAGAAACAGGATTCAGGACGGAATTTAGAAGGGGGGAAAAAAAAAAAAAAAGGTTAAAAAGTAGCCTACCAGAGTGGCCCGGAACC